AGGAGTGGTTTTCCTGTGGAAAACTATTTTGTATTCTTTTTGCCAGGGCTGTTTTTATAAAGAGTGCACTGTTCTATCTATCCCAGGAATAAGCTCTGCTTCCAAAGTCTAGTCTTCTATTGAATCATATGATAAAGGAAATACTACATATTAAATCAATTGCATTTTTGCTATCACTATTTTTAGATTTGGAATGCTAAAATTGAAATTCTTATTCCTGGAAGTAATTATTAGTTTAATATTCTCAGTGGGAAGTAATTCGTATAATCCTAGATCCAAACATCTATTTCTAGTCTCATTAACAGACTACAAATGATGCCTTATATAAAATGCCACTGCAAATTTATAATCGTGTTAATTACAGCCAACGCATTCCCAAAGCTGCTGCTTATAAATTCAGACATTACTCTCTTGATTTGTTCAGTCTTAATAGCAATAATGCGATAAATAGCATAGTAAATAAAGCAAGTACTTCATCTTTTAGTTTACTGTGACATAAAAAGTTTCTTAGATTTCAAGATAATTAAACTAAAGAGATTTTTGAAACTGAACATTGAAATAGTTTATCTTTTAACATGGGATTTAAAAGAACCTCACCGAAAAATACACACGGGGAGAGATTAACCTAAACAAGCATAGAAATAAATGTAGTAATCAAAATGGAAGTCTCTACTGGTAATAGCAGATTTGTTGTATAACAAAAAGCAAATTAAGTAGAGACTCAGATTCAATTTGGCAATTCTAGTGAAGTCCAGGAGATACATGCAAGTGAAGAACTTACTTAATCTTCCGTCATCTCCTCACGTGTCTTGATTAACCACCTTCCTGCGGACTCTGGAAGATGACTGTTATAAAGATAACAACAGAAACAATATAAAATTACCAGTTGTGCCACTCTACTGTTATGCTCCTAAACAAAATACTGCTCTTCCCTGCTCTCTCTTGCAAATTCAGTAGTGTGTGGTTTGTGACACAGCAGAATAATATTCCGTGTTGTGACTGCTTCCTATTAGTGATACTCTGTATAGCTGCCCCAAAGGCTAAAGGTCCATAATCAACTAAGCATGGATGTAAATATAAGGCAATATTTAGGCTGAATAACTTCCAATAAAGAGGTTAAGCGATACCCATTTGGTAAATGGGGAGCTGGTGTCGCCAGAGATCAATGAGAAGGGCCCAGAAGGTGCTGAGGTCAAGTGATGGGGAATGGGGGCTGCAGGGGCGCTGGGGAATGGGGGCTGTCTCGGTGCAGTCCTAGCACCTGTAAAAATCTCCTGAGACTCGACCCCCACCCAAATCCACAAACAAAAATGGGGTGTCCTTGCCAGGTAAATAGGTTATTCCTGTTCTCAAGAGCTGTGTGCAGGATGCAGTTTCAATCTAGTCTCACTGGGCATTACTACAAACGTGTCTTAAAATCTGGTTTTTGTGTTGTCTGGGGTTTTCTTAAATTAAAAAAAAAAAAAAACCTACCTGCCTGTATCTGTGAATCTGCTACTGCCAAGTGGGATTACCTTGCTTAAAATACATCCACACTCCTTGTGGCTGGGGTGAGCACCGTCAAAATATTCTGACAAATTTCATGTGGGGTAGAACATAGGTTTGCTAAGAGCTGCAGAAAGGAGAGATAAACTTCAAGATTTTTCTAAAACCACTAATTTAATTTTAGGCTATTAACACAAGTATCCCTGTATTTTACATCGTATTTCAAGTTAGGACCCGAGTCCACGCACATGTCCACATTCACCTGACTTTCACTTTGTGTGGAGGCCAATACGTATTTAGAAATATAAAAATAACAGAGTAATAGCACAAAATAGAAATAATCTCTGGGAAACAGCACAAGAAGGAAAACCCATAGGCTTTTACAACCTTAGTGCATGCCCAAACACACCGCTCCCTGTGGTTTTCACTGAGTAAACATTCACTCCAGCTGCCCCAGCTAACCTCCTCGTCTCTGCCGCTGTGGCACACCTAATTGCATACCTAAGGCTTAGTTACCAATGAACAGTAACAGCCTGAGCGGGGTGACCACCTCCTCTGCGGCAGGGGAACAGCTGCTGAAGGGGGTCAGAAACATCAGCAGGGGAGAAATGGTACCAACACCCTTTCTCTTCAAGAGCAGGTGGGACACCACCGATCTCAGAATATTTTCTAACGTTAGGTCATGATGACACTTCCAGGCTAATTACTGGAGAAGACTCGAAGCATAAGAAAGAGCTGAATCCAGAAGTAAATCTGCTCTTCTTCCCAGAGGCTAAGTTAGTGCCTTTTTTCCCTTGAGCTGGTGCACATCTCGTAACGTGCTTAGACTCCAGGTCTGGAAACCAAACAGCCATGTCCTGAACAAGCATCCACACCAGCAGGCCAGGACGAAGAGGGGATGTTCCTCTGCAAGGGACAGGTGTGCCATGTTCTCAGTTCTCGACACAAAACAGGGAGTCGGTAGTTCAAAAGGGAAAACGGATAATTCACCAAGTATGAACGGACATAGAAGTCAAAGAAACAGAGTCACTGACTCAATGAATCATAGAATTGTTTGGGTCGGAAGGGACCTTTAAAGGTCACCTAGTCCAACCTCCCCGCAGTAAGCAGGGACATCTTTAACTAGATCAGGTTGTTCAGGATCCCATCCAACCTGACCTCGAATGTTTCCAGGGATGGGGCTTCTACCACCTCTCTGGGCAACCTGTGCCAGTGTTTCACCACCTTCATCATAAAAAAGTTATCTATATTAGCTACTTGGAAGGGAATTAAGTACCAAAGCTCAGACTTTGCCATTATCTCCTTCAGACTTGATAGGTTTCACCACAAACAGGTCAGAAAAAGTTTTATATAACTGTAATTTTTAATTTCTGCCTTGTCTCATGGGCACACAGAAAAAATTGTTGTACACAGTAAAATTTTTGGACTTCTTAGTAAGAATGACACAATTTATATCAAGCAGCCAGAAGGCCACTCACATAACAAAGTATTTTTGTTTTGACCTTTTCAAGAAACTGCAGTAAATCTGACAGTGTGCAGATGGTATAAAATACACATGAAAGGATCCAGTATTCTCTTTATTTTACCTGTATTAGAGGGCACCTTGCTCCAGGGGGCAAAGGCAGCGTCTGCAGCCAACTGCCGGGCTCTGTGCCACAGATGTCAGAATGCCACACACCAAATCACTCACCTCTGGCCATGAGGTTGGTCAGCGGTTTGACGACTACGCCGAAACTTCTGCAAGGGCAAAACTGTCCCAGCAGCTCACTGCAAAGTTAACATCCAGAACACAGGCGCCTGCTGAAGCGCCAGGGCTGGTGGAAGCTCTCAAGTGGCCCCAGGAGCCAAACACTGAGTTTCACTGGTTTTCATATGCAGATGTCTGTAAGAGTGTATTGGTCAGGAAAAAGCTATTACAGTATTTTATTTTACCAAGAACATGCACAAACTTTCAACAGGAAGCTGTAGTCAAACAAAGCATTGCTGCCAAACACCTGAAACAACTTTGGTAGACAGACTCTTCTGAAGAAACTGAAAAAGGGAAAGCAACAATGTAAATTAATGGGGGAAAAAAATCTGATTTCAAGTTGTAATCATCTCAGGTATAGCAGATAAATAGGATTTATGCCTGTGATTTTAGATATACTCACTAAATTTTATTTAATGGCAGATTAAAAGAAAAAATCCAGCTATTCTAGGCATTAGGCAATACTGGCAATGGCACACAGAGAACCAATGTGACACTGTTATCAGCTGCAGCTGTTCAGTTACTCAAAAACCTCCCTCACCAAACCTCCAGTTTTTAAGACACAGCAGAGAGGGAGGTACACTGACATCCAGGCAGTGCCGAGATTAAAGCAAATCTTATCAGGGTGAAAATCCTGGGAGGGGGAAATAATAAAAGGAAAGGAAAACAAAACCAAACCCAGAATAAAATCCCGAGCACAACTCAACCTAGAATAGTTAAAATTAATGGTTGTACTAAGTAATGTCACATAATCTAATTTGCCAGAGCAAATGCCAGCCAGTCACGATATGAGATTATTCTTAACTCTACCAGTGTGACTGAAGTGAACTCCATGGGGATAAAAATGCTGCGTCTTCCATCAGATGAGAAAATCCTTCACTGGGATACAGCACAGTGGCCAAGCACTCACTGCCTGCCCCAGTGCTGAACAGGCTAAGTTATATTTTTGCCATTATAGTCAGACACACAATATACACAAAAATATTTTTTATTTAAAATAACATTCAATCCAGCCTGTCATGAAGGCTAAAAGAAGCCCTTGATTATAACCTGCAAGTGCAGTGGCTCACATCATCCTGGAAACTCTTTTAACGTGCCAGGAAAATTAATCACACCTAGCTGATGTAAATACCCAGACCGCCAAAAGAGGCAAAGTTCACTCTCAGCTGGAACATACACGGGATCTTCTCTGTGTGGATGGAGATGGCACCGCACATCTTCTGCAGCGGAAAGCAGCCACGCTTCCTCGTGTTTGAAACTTCAAGTCTGTGCTGTTCACAACCTGGTTTTCCACACATCTCAGCTGGTTAGCCTACTTCTTCTAAGAGGAAAGCAGCATGTTAGGTCTCTGGGCCTAAAAAGGTATCTTTTAGCCTCTAGCACTGTATTTTGAGACATGTCCATTTGACAAGACGACACAGGAAAACACATAATCAAAACCATTCTTTATTGATGATTTCAGAAGTCATCTTCTGAGTCATAAGCCTCAGTTTTTTGCAGCGGCTGCCTAACACCAAGTATCAGATCTATGGAGAGCAGCTCTGTAACACAATGAAGCACTGAAATGACCAACTGGTATTTGCAATACACAGACTCTAAGCCTTTCTCGGTCACAGGCAGTGGCTGATTTTTTCTGAGTGCATTTGTGACTTCAAGATAGAATTTGGCAAAGCCGTTGCGTTCCGTTGTCCTGTACAAGGACCTGGGAATACTTAGCAAAGCATCAGCAACTACATGAGCTATGGCAGTTACCTCTGACTGCTGAAGCTGTTTTGCGTAGTACAGAATATAATAATGTAACAGGACCTCAAAGTAACCTCCCGCTGGCAAAACTGACCCTGCTTCTATGAGGGAGCTGGAATAATTCTGCGCAATGCTTACACAACTCTTTTCGTGTCTAAATGGAGCTATATTGCAATTTGTTTTCTCCAGATCTTTGCCAACATCTAGGCGTTCACAGGCACTGACTACATGAGCTGCTGATACAGCAGTGCTGTAGTCCTTTTCACTGTCCACAAGTGAATCACTTTTATAATTCTCATGCATGTCACCTGGATGCTGGCATTTTGCATGCTGTTTCTGTACATCTCTTGAAGAGCCATCCCCTTCAGCGACAACACTGAACTCTTTGATGTGCGAGATGGGATTTGATGGTATTTGCAAGTCCGTTTGCACACCTGCTGGATTTTCACTTCCCTGCAAATCAGGACCTACAGTTTGTGTCTCTGTTTCACCCCTATGTGCTTTCAGCTGCTGTTCAGAAACCTGATTACTGTTACAAGAATTATTTTCTATCATGAGTTGCTTTTGAGTAGCCGAAGAATGCCAACTGCAAACATCTGCTGCTTCATTCTGGCTTTCACCTTCTGCTTTACACTCCTCCCTCTGATCAACTGATTTAAAGAGCTGCTGCAGCATTGTAAACGCCCCTTGTAAAGCAGCAGCATGCTGCTTGTTAACACCATCCACTGGCCCGCAAAGAATTAGGCAATGGGGCTGAAAGGTGCCCAGGCTGGCGAAGCCAATGTGAACACATCTCTTTGAGCCCAGCAGCAAGGGCTGGCAAAAGGTTGCCACTGCGGTTTCAGTGATTTCTCCGTGCACGTTGCCACCAAAAGGTGTGTAAGGCGAGACTCCTGTGATTTCACAGATAAGGGCTATTTCCTCTGACGATAAGCACTCTACCACTGATACACCGTATAGTTTTGCATAGGAGATAACCACTTCCTCTTGCTTCACGCTCGACAGCAACAACTTGATGTTGTTGCTCTGAAAGTGTTTCATTAAGGCTTCTGTCCTCTTTTCGATCCAGTGCAGGGAGGCCTGGTACTGACCCTCGGAGGCGACAACAAACTCGACGCCGGAGGCAGCGAGGGCGGGCCGAAGGGGCTCGGTGACAAGCAGGGCCCGTAAGTCCCCCTTCACCGGGTAGTAGGCCGCAAAGTCCCTGCGGAGGATAAGGCCGGGCAGGACCCTGGAGCTCGCCACGGGGAGACCGGCCACGGCGGCGTGCAGCTCCGCGAAGCGGCGACCGAGGAGGCTCAGCACTTGCGGGCCGGGAGGAGCGGCGCCCGGAGCGCAGCGGCGGCAGTACTCGCCGCACAGTCGCGCCAGGCAGTGCCGCTCGCCCGGCCCC